ACTATGGTGATACTTTGGATGAGCACTTTGGCAGAAGCTGCCAACAGCTCAGCAAAATCCACAATCTTCTCTCTTCTTAGAGGGATATAGAGAGGACACATTCTTAGCCTTCTTATAGGTAGGAGCTCCCATGTAACTGAATTCTAGCCAAGACAGTGATGAAAGAGACATGAGACACTTCCAGGTCTAGCCCACAGAAATGTCTCTCTTGAAGACTTTCTCTTTTCCCCTTCCAATTGGCTGGGATGAGCCAATCAACCCCCAGTGAAAGCTTGTAGCCAAGAGCTGAATGTGGAAGAGACTTCATTATGTACCAAAAGAGGTGCCCTTCTAACCTGAGCTCCCTCACAATACTTTTAGGTAAGCAAAAATATAAATTTATATTTTTGGTTTTGAGCTATTATACAATTTTTGGATTTGTTTGTTACAGCTGATAGCACTAGCCCAATTACTACAACACAGGCACCTAACCCAGCTTTGCAGCTTTCTCTGAGAAAGCAAAGTCTATGCTGAATTATTAAGGATTAAGCAACTGCTAACAACAACAACAACAACAACTAGGCAAACATGAGGGGGAAAGGTCTCTGCACAAGGTCCCTCTGGAAGCTGTAGATCAACATGAAGGGCAGCCCAGTGAAAGCCAATTGGAGATATGAGCCTTGTTGGTGTCTCCTCCTGCCCACCTGACCTTCTAACTCACATCTCTCTCCTTTTAGGCCCTCAATAAAAGGCATAGCCAACTTCTAACATGGAGTACATAGACTTGAGTAGAGTGACAGAGCTGGAACAATTTCTAACGTGTGAAAAAAGATACCAAAACATGGTCCTACCTCTTGAGTATATGCCTTACATTCACACTATTTCCTGACTTGTTTCTACATAACCCTGACAATTGTCCATCCATACATTACATTTAAAATCATTGACAACTTTGAGAGGTTCTACCACAGGAGCCACTGCCTGCTACTCTGCTCCCCTTCCCTGGCTGGGCATCTGTCCTCAACCTGTATGAGAAAATCTTCTGCTCCATAACTGTACTGGATTACACCTCAAGAGAAAAAAAATTAAAATCCTTACAACTTGATCAATAATGAACATCACAATAAATGGAAAAAGATTGAAGTTGTCAGAGATTTCATTTTACTTGGATCCATAATCAACAGCCATGGAAGCAGCAGTCAAGAAGTCAGATGTCTTATTGTACTGGGCAAATCTGCTGCAAAAGACTTCTGTAAAGGGTTGAAGAGCTAAGATGTCTCTTTGAAGACTAAGGTGTGCCTAACCCAAGCCATGGTATTTTCAATCACCTCATATGCATGTGAAAGCTGGACAATGAATAAAAAAGGCCAAAGAAGAATTTGTCTTTGAATTGTGTTGTTGGTGAAGAATACTGGAAATACCATGGACTGCCAGAAGAACAAATAAATCTATCTTGGAGGAAATGCAGCCAAACAATGTACCAAATGTGAGTGATCAACATGGTGGCATGAGGAAGAGGAAGACACGGAGAGGTGAATGGGAGGTATAGACAACCAAGATAAACCCTTTTCCACATACAGTACTGTGTTATCAGTGAAGGCAAACATTGATCTACAGGTGGATAGACAGGTGGACAGACTAAACCATTACGTATGTGTATGCTGGGGTAGTGTGCCCATGACCATGTATAGGGTTGGCAGACAACATTTCCACAAGTGTATTAGTATGTTCCATAAGAATTCACAGATATATAGTAGAGCTGACAAGGGGCAAGGTTGTAGTCTCTTCTTGGCCACAGCCAGCTACCCAGAGGGAATGAGTAGTTGGACCTGTGGGTCAGGACCATAGTCACAGGGGACATCAATCTCAATTGGCATAATATACACAAAAACATTGTTCCACATCCTACTTTGGCAAGTAGCAACTGGGATCTTAAAAGCTTACAAGTGGCCATCTAGATGCAACGATGGGTCTCTCCTCATCCAAAGCAAAGAAGAATGAAGAAAACTAAAGACTCATGGAAACAATTAGTCCAAGGGACTGGTACACCATGTGATCCTCAGCCTACATTACTATGAGAGCAGAAGAACCAGATGGTGCCCAGCTACAACTGTCAACCACTTGAAGGGGGATCTATGTACGAGATCCTGGATAGAGTGGGAGAACAATGTGGAACAAAACTCAAAATCATTAAAAAAAAGGAGGGGGGGGGACCAGGTTTGCTGGTCTGATAGAGCCTGATGGAACCCCTGAGACTATGGTCCCTAGCTGTCCTTCAGGTCTAGAATTGAACCCATTCTTATGGCTTCCAGCCAAACCAAAGACAAGCATATGAGCTGAAAATTTACATTAGTAGATACACTCCTTGGAGAGATCAATCATGGGAGAATAGAAGGGCTGTGTATGCACAGGGAGACAGCAAGATGGGCAGGAGGGTATGAGAAGGAAGGATGCAGGGAGGAGGTTATGGGGAGGAAGTGAGAGGAGAGTGCATTGTGGGAGATTGCAGTCAATGTCATGAAACGGTGTATGTGAACTGCTGTACGGAGGATGAATTTGCTCTGCAAACTTTCACCCAAATCACAATAATTTTTTTTTAAAAAAAGGAAATGCAGCCAGAATGCTCCTTAGAAGTGAAAATGGCCACGCTTCACCTCACCTATTTTAGTCACGTTGTCTGAAGGGACCAGTCCCTGGAAAAGGATATCATGCTTGGTAAAGTGGAGGGTCACAGAAAAGGGGAAGACCCTCAAAGAGACGGATCAACACAGTGGCTGCAATAATGGGCTCAAGTGTAGCAGGGATTGTGAGGACAATGCAGGACCAGGCAGTGTTTTGTTCTGTTGTACATAGGGCTGCCATGAGTCAGAATCAACTCAACAGCACCTAACAACAGCAGCAACAAGCAACTCTGAATTCCAAGAGAAGGTTCATCTATTGCATCTTGTAAACTACTCTACCACAAGGAGCTTTATGATGGGGATGGAATGTTCCCAGTGCCTCCCTTGTGGGGGGCTTTTGTAAAGACTGGAGCTGCTCTTGGAGTTCATGTTGGCAGGAGGGTGAAGACCCCTTTATCCTTATGTTCTGCCACAGGCATTCTTCCCATTCATTTATGCTTCACCATAAGCTCATTCTCATGCCCCTGTTAACCAAATACCCACATTCCCCCAGTTCCCTGCCCACCACCCTGCCCCTGAATAAACAACAGCTCATTTGTAAGAGGATTTTAATTTCATCTTGGTATGCCATTAAGGAGTGGAATAAGGATCACTATTCATTTTCACTCACATAGTATCTGCTACATTCTCCAACTGATCTTTACCACAGAAACCTGAGGAGCAACACAGCATTGGCATGACCAGACTGGCTTGGGTTTTGTGGTGGTTTGTATAAATTATAAACAAGAGCACAAAAATCACACAATGTAGACTCTACCATCAGTGGACATGTTTCCTCAGGCCTTGCAGAGCATGTGAGGGAAGTGTAGCTATGTCCAAGTCTCAGGAGGAGGCCATGCCTACCCTGGCCACTCTCAGAGAAGGAGCCCAAGCTGACCATCCATGTTCCCTACCTCCTTATTCTGACTTCCCAGGAGATTTCCTAGCACAGAAGTATCTGTTTCTAGCACCACATTTAGAGAACAGGGTAGAGAACCACCCCTGCGTACAATGGCTGCTGGGGCTTCTGTGCTCAGGATCAGAAAAATGAGCCAAAAGGAAGAGCCCTGGGTTTCCACCTGGACCACTTCTCCCTTCATGAGCTCCATAAACTTGTTTAGACACAGACCTCTAAAGCAGGGATCAGCAAACATTTCCTGTTAAAAGACAGACAGTAAATATTTTAGGCTTTGTCGGTCACATAGTCTCTGTGACATAGTTTTTTTTAACAATCCTTTTAAAATGTAAAGACCATTCTCAGCTGGCGGCTCTTACAAAAACAGGCCTATGGGCTGCAGTTTGTTGACCCCTGCTATAGAACACCACAATGCCCTCCTCCACCCCCTCAGCCTTAACCCACCTAAGGACTCTGACACTCCTCTGAACTGCCCTGCACTAGTACTTTTGCTGTCCAAGCTTTGTAAAAAGGACTATGGCAGGCCACATTACCCTCAACATGGAGGGCCCCCCCTGCTCTGCAAAGGTATCCTCCTTTGCCGAGTGATTGGCTTAGTTGGGTTTTGACCCCTGTTCATCTGTCCTGGGGGTGAATTAAGCATTGCCCAGTGAGGTAGGTACATGCTATTTAGCCTCCTTCCACACCTGAAGATGCTGGAGCTCAAGAGCACAACTGACTTTCCTAGCACTGCCCAACAACAAGAATTTAAGAGAAAGCCCAGGAGTCTGGGCTTTGAATTTTCTAAGAACATGATTAGGGATTGTTCTGTCCCACCCACACCCAGTGATTCAACCCCACAGAGCAAGAACCCACGAGAGACCACTTTCAGTCACAGAGTTATTTTCCAGACCTCCATGACACTCTCTGAAAACAGAATTAACTCCAGCACTCAGAGCTACAGCGCTAGATGGAACAGCCCTTTTGCCCTGCCAACAAGTCTCTCCAAACTAAAAATAAAGTTTATAAAAGTAAATTATCTCATTTTATAACTTAAGTGCATCAAGCATTTCCTTAAATATAGTTCACACTGAAAATAAAGTTACTTTTGCTGTACAGTTGATGTCTGTTATAATTAGGAATAAACTTTGATGATAAAGTATGAAAGGTTAACACACTCACACACATCTATCTATCTGTCTGTCTGTCTATGGGTGTAGAGATGGATAGATGTATGCACCTCTTGACAAGAGCTTCCCCAAAATGGTGGGAAGTTGTTAGGAGTCTCCAGGCATCTAGTTTGCATGAGAACATCTATATTAAAGGTCCCTGTCCTTAATGATAAACACATCTTCATATCTAATGCTAAGACTCTTATTAGAAACATTAAACTATGCAATCCATAATGTATTCAGTCTTTGGAAATGCTGAGCTACACCATATCGTCATACAACAGCATCCCCAACAAAACTCCCTCCCCAACCCACCTCTTCCCTGGCCTCCCCGTTCTAAAGCCAGTCAACCCCTCACATAATATGGTTGTTCCATTTGGGAGCCTAGCCACAGAACTCGAGGGAAAGACTCAAGAGGTGAAGTAAGAATTCTGCATGGAGTACAGATGGTCAATAGGGTTTCCCACTCTGGACTGCAGGGCCCCGGCTTCTGAGGTTGCTAGGAAACAGTCACCCAGGTTACTGAGGGAGGTGTCACTATCCAGGTCATGGAAAAGGGGCTCAGCACCTGAAATGGAGATGAAACATTCGCATGAGGTTCTGGAGGAGTGACTCACTGCAATGTGAAGAAATTCAACTACACTCACCAAGTATTTCCTGCACACACACCCTCACCCCCTATCACCCCACCACCCAAAGTGGAGCTTACTATTGGGTGCTAGAGAAGGGGGTGGGTGAAAGGAGTGGGGAGTCTACACAGAAAAGTAGCAGTAACCACTTGCAGTTGAGTCAATTCTAACTCATAGTAACACAATGTGTGTTGGAATAGAACTGTGTTACACAGGGTTTTCAATGGCTGATTTTTCCCCCCTAAAATAGGTTGCCAGGCCTTCTTTCAAACTGTCTCTGGTTGGAACTTCCAACCTTTCAGTTAGCAGCTGAGTGTGTTTATCCACACAAAAGAGTAGGAAGGAGCAAAATCTCTGTCCTTGTTGGGGCCTGTGTCTAAAGTGTAACTGAAAACAATATAAACCAGGATATGACAAAGTGCTAAATTGAGTGCACTATAAAGAAATGTCAGGATGTCTAGACAATGAGTGTAAGGGAGTGAGCGACTTATCACCAGAGGCTGGAAAGACAGGCAGGGCTCCTAGAGGACTTGGGCCTGAAGAATGGTCCATGAAAGAGGAATGGTAAGAAAACAAACCTCAATTCTGCTAATGAAACCTCTCATGATAGCATCTGTCCTTTCAAACAGCAAGGGCACCCTGAGTGCCTGCCTGTGTTCCCAAATTTTTACTACAAAGGAAAGAAGGTGAGGTGCCAAACTGCAACTCATTTACACTCCTGAGAGAGAAGCCAGTAGAGCAAATGTGGACCAGCTGAAGGACCTGCAAAGTTAGAAGGCTTAGGCCATTTACCTCCACTACAAGTAAATGGAAGAAATGAAAATTGGAGTTTATAAAACATATCATCTGGCTTTGATTATTTATTTGACTAAAGGATTCATCACAAGGATCCTTAATATAACAAGACCCCTGGGATTCTGAAAAGTTATGGATTCACACACAAAAAATAATAATAGTAATAATTAATTTGCCTGTTTTCCTATAGCTGTGGACTGAAGAATGGTACAGATGTCATTACATGGTGCCTAAGAAGGAAGACAAAGAGGGTGGGAGTCACCGAGCACACATACATGTATCTACATTTCTACCAATGAATGAGGTTGGTCCCACTTGAAGGTGGGAGGGCCCTTCAAAAGGCCAGATCTTAATAAATATTTGCTAAGTGCACAACATGGGAAGGTGGGTGTAATTTTGAAAAAAAATTGATTTTTTTTTTTTTTTTTAATGAAGGCAAAGGCATGTTGTTTGACAGAATCTGTGAGCTGAAGTATATATGTCTCAGGCTTGCTGAATAAAACTTTGTATTTAGCTATCAGGGTTTATCCCCATTACACAGTATATATCAATGCATTACACAGGACACTGACTTTGTATAAAAATGTAGTGGCCTATTTGTCCCTGAGGGTGAACTTGGGCCCTCCACTCTGGAGCTCAACCCACCCCAGCAGGGTCTCCAAGCTCCACCTGTTGCCCAATAGCTTAAGCAGCAAGTTGGGCAAGTGCACAGGCTCAGCTATAAATATCCACCCACCGCCATGGAGTCAATTCCAGCTTATAGCAACCCTATAGAATAGAGTAGAACTGTCCCAAAGGGTTTCCAAGGCTGGAATCTTTATGGAAGTACACTGCCACATCTTTATCCTCTGGAACTACTGGTGGGTTAGAACCACCAACTTTTCAGTTAGCAGCTGAGTGCTTTAATCACTATGCCACCAGGGCTCCTTGATATACACACACCCAGCATTTTAATGAAGCCCAGTTCGGGCTGTAAAGGGGAGACATTTTTCACTTTACAAGGTCAGATTTTCTTTCATGAATGACTTCTACTAGTATCTCTAGTAGAACTGTCTAATTGTGAAATTTGTTTTATGTGCTTTTGAATATTTTTGGTCTTTAGGTAAATGTTTGCTTAATTAAGGCCTTCTGTCCATATTAGTGTTGATACTGCTTGAAAACATTTAAGTATGGTAGCCTGGTATGGAATGCAAGACTTGTGAAATTTGGTTTTTCATTTCAATTATAGAATCAAATTAAACTTCAATTATTAAACTCACAAACTGGAATACGAGACTAATTGAGAACATCATGAATGAATATGCATATTGGTCTTCCTCCTGTAACCACTGGGTAGGTTATTCTAACACTATTTTGTGGGAGTACTAGTTCTGCTTTGGTGTTTCAGTGAGCACCAAGGACTTGGGTAAATGTGTTTGGGAGGGAATCAGAAACCTATGCAAGCAAGTTGAGAAGTCTCTGTGGAGTTTGAGGTCCTCTTACCATAGGGGTGCATGTGGTCTCCAGGCATCTGGGGTGGGGTGAGCCCCTGTCGGAAGGGATCTGAGCTGTAGACACTCTGCTCGATGGCCAGAAGCTGCTGTGGGGTGGGCAGAGCAGTGTAGGGGTTCATGATCCCTTCCATCCCAGTGCTCCCACCACCATTTGTCTGAGCTGTGGGACAAAGAAGAAGGCAGGTCATTCTCAGCATGCAGCCCAGTGTCCCAGGCTGGGAGAAAGCACCACAGAGCATCCTCTGGGCTTCTCATCCCCTACTACTCAGTACTCCTTCCCAGCATCAGCCTTTGCTCTGCTCCATAGAAGAGAAGAGAATGAGAAAGGCAGGTGAGTGTGGGGCAGTGAGCCTTGGACATAGAGTGAGATATGCTGGGTCTGAAAACCCCACTGGGGCTCCATCACGTAGACCTCTCCATAGGGCTGCTGCTTAAGTGTCTCACCACAAGACAGCTGGCTTCCTCCAGAGTGATCCAAGGGAGCTCAAAACAAATGCCACAAAGTCTTTGATCACTTTGGAAGTCACATTCTAGGTCAACCCTAATTAACATGGGTGGGGACTACACAATGATGTGAACACAAGCTGTGAGAACCATTAAAGGCCATCTTGGAGGATGGTTACCACACAAAGTGTATGACACTGGCTATATAACCTTACTTCTCTGGGTCTTGGTGTTCTCACTTATAAAATAGAAGGGGATGAGGTGAAGTGAGTGGTTTTTAGCCTGTGTTCTACTGAAAGCCATCAGGGATCACTTTAGAGGGTAGGTAGGGATTGGGGGGGAGTTGAACTTTGGGAGCTTCCTTGAAGTATACCATTTGAGCAAAGAGCTCTGATGCTTTATACTGGTTTGGCAGTCACTGGAGTGTATGAATCTAAAGCTCCTTCCAATGGTAACCATTGGTCAAGCCCATTGGTCAAGTGAGAACCACCATACAGGCCCAGCTGACCTCATGGAGCTGACGTGAATATTATATGAGCTTCTATATAACTACAAAATGCTACACTTGTATACAGAATATTATGAGAAACAGAAGACTCAGCTAATACCTCCATATCTTGCTCTGGTTCTCTGAGCATGGTTCCAACAATTCTCATCTACGAGATGGGAACAATTTTCTTCCATCACCTCAGCTTTCTGAAGTTTATAGTAGAAGCTGCCTTAGAATTCTTAGAAGAAAGTTCCAAGCACTGAATTTGTGTCCTCATAATGTCTTGAGGCATCCTTCTCTCTTTGAGCTTGCTGGCCTCTACAAAGTCAACTCGCATGGCTCTTAGTAAAGGCCTCTCCCTTCTTTGAACTTCACAGGGTTCCTGGGAGATAGGGCTATCAGACATTATTAACCCACTCTAGGGATGTATAGGGCATTGGTGGTACAGTGGTAAAATTCTCTTCTTCTAAAGGAAACCTAGGTTCAATTTCCAGCCAATGCATTTCATACACAGCTACCACTAGCTTGTCAGTGGATGCTTGTGTGTTTCTATAATGCTAAACAGGTTTCAATGGAGCTTCCAGACTAGGACAGACTAGGAAGAAAGGCCTGGTGGCCTACTTCCAAAAATCAGCCAATAAAAACTCCATGGATCACAAAGGTCCAATTTGCAACTGATCATGAGGATGGCATAGAACCAGGCAGTGTTTGAGCATGGGGTTCCTATTGGTTGAGGGCCAAATTGATGGCAGCTAACAACAACAAAGGTATGGGTAGCCTGAGATGCAAGGAGATGAAAGGCTAGTTCTAGATCAAACAACATTGGGGGTGGAGCTAAGACAGAATTAGGTGTCCTGACTAGCTTGCTAGGAGCTGTGGTAGCATAGTGCCTAAAGCACTTGACCACTAACCAGAAGGCTGGCGGTTCAAACCCACCAGCCACTCCTCAGAAGGAAGGTTGGGCAATCTACTTCCATAGTGATACTGCCTTGGAAACCCAAGGAGGGGTTGCTATGAGTCGGGTCCGACTCGACAGCAAATAACAACAACAACGACGACTAGCTTGCTGCACTGTTCTTCCTCCATGCCCATGCCCTTACTTCATTTCTTTTCTCCCTTGAGCATCTCTCATCTTGCCATTAAGATATCATTTAGCTCAGAAAGTAAGAAGCCAAGGGAACTCCTGGCTGCAGGAAGTAGTTAAGTCAAATTTAGATGGAGCCTAGTCCCAGTATCAAGTACAAGGCAGGGTCCATATAAGGACTAAGGGCTCTGTTGAAGGGACTGAGAATGAACATCATATTCTATGCCTTCTTACTCAAAGTGTGGTCCATAGATCATCAGCAGCCACAGCATCACCTGGGATCTTATCTAAAATGGAGAATCTCAGGTACCTCCCAGACCTGCTGAATCAGAATCTGTAACAAGGTCCCAGGTGATCCAGGTGCATGTTACAGTGTAAGAAGCACTGCTCTAAGGTACAGAAAGACCAGTCAGGGAATTCTCCTGGGATGAATTGGAGGCCTAGCCCTTTGAGAAGACATTATTCGAATATAGTGATTCTTGATTTTATTTTTCTTTTAACTTCCTTAAAGACTCCTATAATCTCTTCATCTTCAACCTGCTCCCTGAAATTCATACCATCCTTATTTAAACAAGACAAAACAACAACAACGACAAAAAAAAAGCAGAAAGGTATATGGCATGTAAGGGTAGGAAAATCAACAAGTTTTAGTAGAATTTATAATCAGAGAGATGGGTTCTAGTTCCAGCTCCACCCCTTACTGATCTAGAACCACATTCAGTCTTATAGAGGCTTTGTTTGCTCATCTGTGAAAAGGGGCAATAATGACTTCTCTGCTTCCCTCAGGAGATGGTGGCTGTGAGAGTCAAATCAACATAAGAGGACTCTGTGAATTATAAAATACTCTGCAAAGGAGGATCTCTGGTAGCACAGTGCCTAAGGTATCTACTGCTAACCAGAAGGTTGGTGGTTCTACCAGCCATTCCACAGAAGGAAGATGGGGCAATCTACTTCTATAAGGATTTACTGTCTCAGAAACCCAGTGGGGGTTGCTATGAGTCAGAATCAACTCGACGCCAGTGGGTTTGGTTTGGTTCTTGGTTTTGCACAGGAGGGAACTATATTTTACTATCATTGTTTTTACTATTTTACATTATTCTGGAAATGGGTAAGTCACAGTAATGTCTTGTATTTAATTGATTGTTGTTAGTTATCATCAAGTTGACCCCTGACTCATGGTGATCCCATGCACAATTGAAAAAATGCTGTTGCCGCATCCAGTGCTGTCCCCAGAATCAGCTGAGGATCAGGCTATTGTGATAAAATAAGGTTTTCATTGGCTGATTTCCAGAAGTAGATCACCAGGCCCTTCTCCTAGCCCATCTGAGTCTGAAAGCTCCACTAACACCTTTTCAGTATGTTAGCAACACACAAGCTTCCACAGGTGGTGACTACTTGAAATGCATTGTCTGGAAATAAAACCTCAGTCCACTGTGTGGAAGGTGAGCATTTTACCACTGAAGCACCAATGTCCTGATTAGTTCAGAACTAACAGAGTGAGCAGGGTAAGAAAGGAAATGTCTTTGGATCTGTGCAGGTCCTGGTTTCCCAGACACTGGGCCCTCAAGGATGAAGGCAATGAGGCTTTGGATACTTTCAGGGCAGCTTCCACTGAGAAGTTCTCCACCTGCGGCTTGGGCACCCTCCACCTCTCACAGTTCCTTCTGGCTAATTCTCCACATGAAGGCTCCATCTCTCAAGTGGGTGTGCAATGGGCTTCCCTGAATCCAGAAATCTCATTCAAAAAGCTGGGGATCTGAAGGCATCTGGTAGGAGAGGGCTGGTGGAGGAGCCGCTACCTTACCGGAACTCAGCCTCTGGGTGTTCTGCTGATCTTGCTGCTGTTGCTGCTGCCGCCTGGCCAACTTTTTCATCTGGTGAGGAGAGAACCACAGGATGAGAAATCAGGCAACCTGCAGCAGGTTCCTGAGGTAAGCGGGAGACAAGAAGTGACAGCTTCCATGTGAGAGAGCTTGGTTGTAAAGCAGAAGGGTATTTCCCTAGTATTTATTCAGTAAAGGAGCCAGGCTTGAGGAACAAAATCTCAAATTAGCTGCACACCTGCTGAGGAGTTTTTCTACTTCATTGCAATGGTGAAACAGCTAGTTGAGAAGCAAGGGTTCAGCTTGTTTTAGCAGGGACATGGGTCGCTTCTCAGCAAATAAAACTTGCTGCTCTGATAGCATAGTGCCTAAGGCACTTGGCTGCTAACCAGAAGGCTGGCAGTTCAAACCCACCAGCCACTCCTCGGAAGGAAGATGGGGCAATCTACTTCCGTAGTGATACTGCCTCGGAAACCCAAGGAGGGGTCGCTATGAGTTGGGTCCAACTAGACAGCACATAACAACAGCAACAACAAGCTTATGTTGTGACTATTTCACAGAAGGTAATAAGTGTGTGGGGGCTCTGGTGGCATAGTGACTAAGGCATTTGACTACTAACCAGAAGGCTGGTGGTTCAAACCTGCCAGCCGCTCGTCAGAAGGAAGGTTGGGCAATCTACTTCTGTAGTGATACTGCCTCGGAAACCCAAGGTGGGGTCACTAAGAGTCAGATCTGACTCGACAGCAGTGAGTTTTAATAAGTGTGTGAGCTGTGGTATCACTAAATGAGGACCCAGGGCCAGGCCTGCCTGGATGTGGAGCATTTGTGCTGACAGGATGTGATTTGGGAGATGCCAAGAGGTTCATGCTCCCATACCTCCCTATCGCCTGCTGGGCTCTTGTGTTTTAGTTATACCACAACATTCATGCCTCCAGGTAAGAAGTCTGTCTCCCAAAACACCCTGTTAACACAGACACTTCTTTGGAAAAGGCACATTTTAACCCAATGTTTCTCAAACTGTGTTCTGTGGAACACTAGGTTTCCATCAGATGTTAATACATACGGTATGTGTGTATGTGTGGATTAAACACTATACTTTAAAAATACTAAACAAATTCTTTACTGTAGGCTATCTTGGAGCTTTTCAATGTGCTCTGTGCATTCTGAATCCATATGCTACAGGCAGTGTCAGTTTACCCAACAAGCAAGGTAAGCACAGGCTTGCATGTGCTTACTGACTAATCTGTAGTGAACAATTTCACATGCATTCCACCACCTCTTTAGTGAAACTCATGTGAAATTGTTCATTAAAGTTTTTTTTAAATCTGGGTTAAACAAACATGAAGAGGATACTTTTAGTGAAAAACACAGAAAGATATTTACTAACACATCTATTTGGCCAGATCCACAGTTACAGCCACTAGCAAAATAATAGCCATTTCACTAAAATGAACACCTACTCTGCCCCTTCGGCAGGGCTGCTGTGGCTGAAATGGTTGTTGACAACACAATATTTGAAGCAAGAGAGCTATTCTATCCAATGAGTTCAGGTTTGAAAATGTGAAGGCAGGTGCAAATGTCCTACCACTATTATTTCAGGAAACCAGCAACACAGACAGACAAAAGTCAAAAGCAGGTTACCTTAGCTCTCTGATTCTGGAACCACACTTGGACGACACGGACACTCAGCCCTGTCTCTGCAGCCAGGGTCTCTCTCACCTTGAAAAAATGGAACATTAGAAACAGAAAAATTATGATCCCAGAGAAAGAGGCTTGGAACATTTCCTACCTAGTGTACGCATCTTACAGAGGAACTGGCATAAACTAAAACACAAGAACAGCACTTCCCTTCATTTGGAGAGAGGGTCCTTCACCAGGTAAACAAAGAAAGGAAGAATCATTCATTCATATGTATGTTCCCAGGTGGTGTTTCTGGGTTTCTCTTATGTTAGAAATAGACCTTCACGCCATTGTTAGTCATTAGCAAAGTCTATTATTGTGTCTTTCCTATAATCTATGCACATATATTGATATGCTTAAGGAGAACAAGGTAAAATTCACTTTGCAAAACCACTGGCTCTCTCTTGCTCTCCTCTTGTCTAAATTCATTGACCTAATTTTTTTGTTTTGTCCCTCACAGCTTTAAGTGACTGTGAGTGTTTAATGAATATTTATATTCACTGTTCTCCTAAGTGAGCCCTGCCCAAAGAGAGCAGAGTGAGAGCCATCTGGATTCTGATGGTGCAGGGCAGACAGCTCTGATGCAGGCAAATACATCAAGGCCATAAGGAGACAGGATCATCAGGATCCAGATAAGAAAGTTGTTATTGGTGGTGGTGATTATCAAGTCAATTCTGACTCACGATGACCCGTGTGCGCAGAGTAGAACTGTTCCATAGGCTTTTCAAGGCTGTGACCTTCCGGAAGCAGATCACCACACCTGTTGACTGAGTGGATTCAAAGAACCAACTTTTTGGCTAGTAGTCAGTCGACTGAATGCTTAACCAACCAGCAAACAGAGAATAAAGAGATGTGTTTAAAATCTGCTCTCCTTACAGGAAGGCAGTGACTGGCCTGGCAAGGTGAGGAGAAGGGAAAAGGCAAGAAGCACAGATTTCCCAGGAGTGGGCCTGAGAGATACTGCCACCTCTTGGTTAGATTCTGTGGAAGAGCTGAGACTGAAGGAGCTACTTGAATAAATTCATGATTAGAGCAAACATAAGGCCTTGGGAAGTACTTCTCTTTGATCATGCCTCTTGGGCTGAGGCTTAGGAGAAGTGGGATGATTAGACTTGATTTTAAAAGTATATCCTTCTGCTAAGCCAATGAAAATAACAGTCTGCATAGGGGTCCAACCCCACCTGTTGAAACCCTATCCATCCTTCAGAGGCCTAGTGCAAAAGCCACCTGTTCCACAAAGCCTAGTCTGATTCCCCCACAGAAATGGGCTTTTCCTTCTCTCTGTTCCTGCAGCTTCTGGCTGGCCCTTCTATTACAGTGCTTGGTGCTTTCTGCCTAAAGTTACAGCCATGAGTGTATACATTTCCTTCATGCTGGTGGCCTGGAAACTGCTCAGTGGCAAGCACTGGGTAAAGGGCATATTGAGGCTGGGAGTTTAGTACACATAAACCAAAAAAAAAAAAAAAAAAACCAAACACACTGCCATCAAGTCAGATCCGACTCATAGTGACCCCTCCTATGAGGCAGTATCACTACAGAAGTAGATTGCCCAATCTCTTTCTGAGGAGTGGCTGGTGGGTTTGAACTACCAGCCTTCTGGTTAGCAGTCAAATGCCTTAGGCACTACGCCACCAGAGCTCCCTTAGTACACACAGCATTAAGAAAATAAATGCAAGCCTAGTTGGAGAGTGTTTTACTTTGTCCTGGAGTCCCTGGGTGTTGCAAATGGTTAAAATACTCAGTTACTAACTGAAAGGTTGGAAGTTCAAGTCTACCCAGAGGTGCCTGTATAGAAGGGCCTGGCAATTTACTTTCAAAAATCAGCCATTGAAAACACTATGGAGCACAGTTCTACTCCGGCACACATGAGGTTGCCATTAGTTTGAATCAGCTCAATGGCAACTGGTTTCACTTTTTCTCAGTATCTCCTTGGCACCTAAAAGCAGCACAGACAAGGAAAGGAAGAGCTCTGTAGCTAAATTTTTTCAACGGTCCAATGCTGTGTTAGACTATCTTACTGTTCAGCAACTATCCACCCTCCCTCCCATGCTACATGGAAGCCTTGCACTTATCCACTGTCCCATATTGGACTTGGCCACATGAAGTGCTTGGACTGGTAGAATGTGAGTGGATATGATATATGTGACATCCAGACAGAGACCTCCAATGGATTTGCCCAGTTTGTCCTGGCCTCCTGTCCTCTACCATCCTCAAAAGAATGGCATGCCCCAAGTAGGGTTCCTTCAAGGTGGATCCCTGAATGAGAAACTGGTGGATCAGACCTGAACCTCAATCCAGCTAAGCCACAGCCCACCCACATCCTGGGAGCAAGGAATAAATGTTTACTAGGAGCCACTAAAATTTTGGGTTGTTTGTTACTGCAGCAAAAACTGACTAATAAAGACAAGGATGAAGGGAAAATAATGTTAATATTTTTAATAATTTATTTCCTCTATGAATTTCAATAAAGAATGTTTTCTTTTTATTGTGTAGATGACAGCATCCAGCATGTGACAGGCAGTCAATAAATGGTAGGTACTGCTGGTGCAGTGGTTTAAGTGTTTAGCTGCTAACTGAAAGGCTGGTGGTTCAAACCTACCCAGTGGTTCCACAGAAGAAAGAACTGGCAATCCAATTCTGTAAAACTTACAGCCTAGAAAACCCTATATGGCAGATCTACTCTGTCACATAGGGTGATTATGAATGAATAATCGACTCAACAGCATCCAACAAGAACACTCAATAAATGGGCACTGCTTGTTGTGGCAGACACTGATAATTGTCCCCAAAATGCATACTTGTCTTCTTCCTACTAGTAATTGAGTCCTCACGTTTAGCAGGGCACATGGTCACCCAGTAGCCCTGGGAAAATACTCTTCCCAGCCTCCCTTACAGGAGGTGTGGCCATGCAACTAAATCTTGGTCAGTACCTGTGAGTGAAGGTGATGCAAGCAACTTTTGGGTCGGCTTGTCCTCCACTTTCTTTTCCACTATCCTGGTACCTGGAAGGGAGCTCTGGTGGCATAGTGGCTAAGGTATTTGACTGCTAACCATAAGGCTGGCGGTTCAAACCCACCAGCCACTCCTCGGAAGGAAGATTGGGCAATCTACCTCCATAGAGATACTGCCTCAGAAACCCAAGGAGGGGTCACTATGAGTTGATGGCACTCAGTTCGGTGTTTTTTGTTTTGTTTTGGTGGCTGGAAAAATAATGACAACCAGAGTACCCCATGGACCCTAGTGATGGATAATAGAGTTGCCCCACCAGTCTCAGACTGATCACCTCTTAACTATGACATAAGAGAGAAATAAATTCTTATCTAATTTAGCCACTATGTTTTAAGACTGTTACACCCTTTTGGTCTATACTCTACTGGTACCCATTATTATTATTACTCTCACTGCTTTCTATAAAATGAAAGGAGTGAGTGAGGGTCCAGTTGGAGTAATAAGCATGCACAAAAGCACAGATGATTCTAACTACATACCTGGCCTCAGCCTCAGTGCTTTCTGAGGTCTCCAGTGGGACTCAGGGCCACTGATAGGGCTTTATATGGACAGGCTCTCTATTGCCTTGACCTCCAAGGACCCATCTACACCCCAAGGGCATCCATGGTGCACTCATAGATGTGGGGCCCAATTCCCTTTCCACCCTTCTCCCCTCCTGTACCTTCCGGCATGGCTTGGAGGATACTTCAAATGAGGCCTTGAATGCTCTTCTCTGTTGGGTTGTCAAGATGGTTCTGGGACGTTTGGGGCGCTTGTGGTCCTTACCATCCTCGGTGGCTCCTTTCCCTGTCCCATGGGCTGACTTGCAAAGACTTTCCTCATCATCACTTTTGCCTAAAAGCAGCAGGAAACAGTGTAGTAAGTCTTTGAAAGCTGGAGCTGTATAATATTCGTGTGTGATATGGTATTTAATCCACATTTCCAACAAGGTTTTATATCTGAATGCAATAACCTATGTGATATCGTTGAAACCTCAAGAAGGAGACAAAGAAAAGTACTTCTCAAAGCCAGAGGCTTTATCACAGTCCATCATTATAGCTTGGGACTTTATCATGGAATGGTATGCTGGCTCCACATTTACTTGCTGTGTGACCTTGGGCAAATTATTTACCTCTCTGTAACACAGTTTCCTTATTTACAAAATCAGGATATGAGAGTACCTACTTTGTTAGGCTGTTGTCAGGATTAAATGAGTTAAAACCAAAAAGGCACTAAGAATGGTAGTTGGCATGTAACACTCTGTAAGTATTGGCCAGTAGTATTACTTCACAGATGTCTTTTTGCAAGACTAGACTCAGAAATGACTATCACCCATAAGTACTATACTCCTTTAAAAAGTCATCTAAATGAGACAAATGGTCAACAATTACTTTAAAACAAAGATCAGAATGCAAGGGGACAGGAAAATTGGATTAATGGGAGTCAGAACAACCAGAACAGAAATAATGAGAATGTTCACGCATTAGGAAGAACAACCAATGTCACTGACCAACTGGTGTAGAAATTGTTGAATGGGAACCTAACCCATCTTGTAAACCTTCACTGAAAACACAGTAAAAATTATTAAAAAAAAAAAAGAACTAGACCTAGAAAAGCTACATATAACTTCCTAGACACTATGTCTGAAATTGTAGCCACTGCCAGAAGGAGAAAATATTACTGCTTAAAAGGCCTCTAGATGAATAGTATTAGATTACCTGTAGATAGAGATAACTGAGAAAGGCCAGGTAACATGGATAATTCATCAATGTTGCTTGTCTATAAAATAATAACTCTCTATTAAAGTAATTGAATAAATATGTGAATTACTTAAACTCTAGAAGTAGTGAGCAATACAAGGGTTAACTTTTAAAATAAAGTTCTCCAGTATACATCAGATTCTCTCCCAGGCTACCTCTTCCATTGCACAGACTTTACCCACCAGAAGATGCTTCTGGAGTCTGAGAAATACCTGTGTGGGAGACTTCTTACTTTGTCATGAAAAGCCTTAGACGGCTCTGTGCACAAGTTACTCAAACAAGTACCACATGAGTTTCTGGGTCCTCCCAAAGAGGGGCTGTCCTATTTCTTCCAGTGAGAAATTTTCACCCCAAGGCCAAGTCCCCTGATTCCAGCCCCCTTCTGACAAACTTCAGGAAAGCCAAGCTGAGTGGGACACACTGTGTGAGTCAGGCATCCTTATTCTTCATGACACCCTCTTCTGTAAAGGTTGTACATTTACATAAGCTGATTTAATTTACACTTAATCATTGAGTTCTAATTTATGGATGGTTTTTACCCTGGCCCTCTGCCAGAGTCAAAAAAAAAAAAAAAAAACCCTTTATCTGAAACAACAATGTCTTCTTTTCTCCATGAATATTTAAAAATACATTTGAACATGAAGGAACACTAACAATGAGTTCCTACAGGGTATATGACCTGTGATGTCACTGGAAAGGGACTGGATGTTGGCAGACCCAGGTTTCCATCCCACTCCTCCCCCTTGTTACAAGTATAGCCTTATACAATATATGTCATCTGACTGAGCCTCAGGTTCTCCATCTGAATTCTGGAGAAAATAACATGCAGTGGGTAGGACTAGACCTTAGGAGTAATGAAGCTATAATGTGTGAAATAGCTAACATGGTCCCAGCACACAGGAGGTTCATAATACATGTTGTACATGTTGTTAACAGGATGTCTTTTCCCCCTTCCCCACCTTCCTTAATGATAAAATTTAAAAAGCCCGAAAGATTAAAGAAAAAGAGAGTTCAATCAAGAATCCTCATGACAAGGGGTAGCCACTCTGGTGGTCTTCAACTCTGAAGCTGCTCTTTTCCAGGGGCAGTGCAGTAACCTCATCTTGGTCATAACTTGGTGTGAAGAGGTTGGGGGATATTTTTAGGTGAGGATTTTCAAAATGACAAGAGAAAACCAAGTTCTTAAGGACCAAAAGCCCCAGGAAAATAAGAAGACCCCACAAGAGGATAAAAGGTAGAGAAAAGGAATCCCGGACATAGACACCCTTGCTTCCCCTATTCATCCCACTGCTTGGAGACAGTCCAGAACCCAGGCTTCAGTAAAGCCAGTGGCTCTCTCGGAAGGTGGACTCTTCAGGGTCAGAAGGATGCTCCTTTGACACCAGTGATCCCTTCCTTCAGTAACATTTCTGAGGAAGTGGGACTGACACCCCACCTCCAATTTGCAAATCTCTTGCAAGGCAGGTGACTAAAAGTGGCTGAGTGTGGAAGAAATGAGCGAGAAATCCAAATTCTTATATATATTTTGAAATGCAACGGTGTATCTTCAAGGACTTCATTATATACCAGGTTTGTCAATAAAATGCCATTTGCAAATGCTTTATGGCGTCAGTCTGATTCTTTTACAGTCATTCCTCACACAGTTTGATGCAAATCTATATTGATAAGTAGAATAGTGTAACTAATGAAAATAACAAGTCTAAAATAATGCTGGATTTCATGATAATGCCTCATATGCTGATGCCCTTCAGGAAAACAATCTAGCATGATATCTATAAGCATGGGCTTTCAGAGCTATATAAACTCAGGTTTAAATTCTGCTTCTGCCAGTTAGTGTGTGATTTTGAACATATTCATCAAGACTCATTTTTCCCTTTGGAGAAAGTAATGTTGCTGGAATTAAATTAGATGGTGAAGGATTTAACATTGTCTAAAAAGTGGTAGATGCTCAATAAATAATAAAGAAATAAGTAAATATTATTTATTATTTCTTTTATCATTTCAACATACAAAGAAGTATTCTTGGTTGTGGACACCTCTTTGCCTAATGATAGCTGCATACTGGTGGGGCCTGAGTTAAGGTTTCCAGTGTCGGGCATTAGTTTCTCTCTTTTTGCAGACATAACCATAGCCAAAAAGGAGAATAGGTTTTCTGGAATACAAATGTGAGTGCTATGAGAAGGGAGCAAGGAAGAGAACACTGGGGCTGGATCTACTAGGAAGGTGTAATCTCTGCAGTTTGTTCAGACCCCAGAGGCAGGATGGCTGATGGCCTCTAGTGTCTTCCTCCTGATTTCACTTGCCTAGGATACAAAGATAGAAGAGCATGCACATATTGCTGAAGAGCTGCTCTTCCATTACAAAGGAGCAAAGAGAAGGGCAGAAATGGACCATCTCCCAGGCCAGCCCTTTTGCTTAGTTTTGGCGTATACAGAGGGCACTCTTGGTGTGGTGTAGTAAATTACACAGTGTGGCTTTTCTAGCCACAAGTCTTTGTAAACTCCATGGTGGAATTTGCCATAAGCAACTGAGTAGCTCCTGATTGTTATCCACCTGGGGTATTTCTGTTGAGAGGGCATGAAGCAATCTTCTGGGAAGTTCTCTCTCTCTCTCAGGTATATAGAATTCTGATGTTGGGATTGGTTAGTTTGGCCACTTTGCCAGACTCAAAAAGGAGCCCTCCTAGAGACAGAAGGAGTCTCTTTGACTTCTGGCTGAGAAAGACATGCTGCTGAGAGAAATGCACTCCTGAGAGGCATGAGAGGCACACACTGCTGAGAGAGAGACATGAGAGACAAGAAATGCTGAAAGACAGACATGAGAGACACCTACTACTGAGAGAGTGATGTGCTACTGAGACTGCCAGCTGCTGAGTGAGACAGCTGGCTGCAAGAGACTGAGTGCATTTTTGAATTTGAATTGCAGCCTGTTGCTTCCCTAATAAACCCAATAATCTGTGAGTTCTATGTGGCCACTGCAGCAAATTATCAAACCTAGCAGAGAGGTGGTGGGTGCTGCAGGAGGAACAGTTGGTGAAAGGGCTGGTGGGCGGCCTCGCAGAAATAGGCCTTGGTCTACTGATGGTGATTCTGTCTTCCTCTTGTGGTGTTGGAGGAGGTCAAAAGATGTGGCCTCCCTGCTCCTTTACCAGTTGGTCACTGCTCACTCATACCCTGTAAGAAGAAAGAAAGGAAAATATGCTTGTTTTTTTGGAAAAAGAAAGGAGAAGAAGAAGAGGAGGAAGAAGAAGGAGACAGTGAAGAAGAGGAAGAAGAGAAAGAGGAGATGGAGAAAAGTAGTAGTTTGTCTCCAGAATGGTTCTATTGGATTTTTGGTGCTTTCTCAATCTGGTGTCCATAATCTCTCACTGCCTCTTCTGTTTCTTTAGGTCCTTCTTTGGCCTTCTGGGCAGCACTTCATTCCAGGCAGCACTTATGCTCTAGAACAGGGTCTAAAACTTTCTCTATTAAAGACCAGAAAGTAAATATTTCAGTTTTCAGGAGTTTTTACACATGCCCTCTGTTTTAACCATTCAACCTTCCCATTGTAGAAGCAAAGCAGCCATAGACAATATGAATGAGCATTGCTGTGTTTCAATAAAACTGTGCTAATGAAAACAGGCAACAGGCTGGATTTGGCTTGTGGGCCATAGTTGACTGACCCCTGCTCTAAACCTCTTCTGACCTCCTGTTCTCCATCAAAATGTTCTGTGTCCTATGCTTTCCAGCTGTGAGTCTCGAGGCAGGAAGCACTTAGATAACTTGAGACACTGTGGAATCAATGGTTGAGCATTATTTGATGTGGCTCTCCCACAGTTAATAACATGTACACTTAACAAGAAATGTCTCCCCACAAACAGTTGTCAGAAGATCACAGGTAGCCTGGCAGATCTGGAGATTCTGGAAATGGAGGGCTGGAAGGGCCTTTTGGCACAGTGCAGACAGATCCCCAGCTGCCAACAGGAGAGCGGACCAGCGGATGATGACGAACCATCACTCAGCTTCTATCTGTTATTGGTAGTTGCCATCAAGTCATCCCCCAACTCATCGTGTCCCCATGCACAGCAGAACAAAATGCTGCATGATCCTGCAGCAT